AAGCTGTTGATAAACAAGCCATGTGTCTGTGATGATTTCAGTAGAAGAGAATTTAGTTAATACACGAGTTACTGTTGTATCATATAGATGTGATAATGTTTTAAGAGTAATTTAATTCCAATAAGTAATGACGTGTTATTGCACAAATCTCTTAATTATATAATTGGGTTGTTCAAAGTAAAAAGCATCTTTAAGCCGAACTTCAGACAAAGGTAATTTTATATTTGAACAGCTGAGTTATGGGCATTACACTTGAGGCTTTTAGGAATAGAAAAAATAAAGCATAGAATCCTGGATTTATTAATTGCTTGTGTACTGAGTCATGTTAATGTTGAAGGTTCAGTGTGTAGAGTTAGTGAAGTTTCATGGCAGCCTCTGTAGAGAGGGATCGCTCCAGCTATTATAAAGGGTCCATTCTAGGGTAAAGGAAACAATTGGTATTTGTGTTATTACATCACTATTATTATTTTATATTTAGTTTTTGCTAAAGATCCCTTTCACCTGAATCTTATGCACTGGGTTTTTAACATGCTGTGTTAGGAAGCATTTTCTGAAGACTTCCTCACATCTTCACAATTTCTGAATATCTTCAAACAGCACTGTTGCATCTTGTTAATGCACTTCCTCTATTCTACCATTAGGGGGCGTACAGAAACCTGTAGTGACGTACTGCACAGTTCACACCTTATGAGCCTCTCACAGATGAAAACATGTATCTGGAAGGGAGGGGGTTCTAAAAACCATCCAGACAAACCACCTGCATGTATTATTACAAACCAGAGTGCAATGAAATCCCCTGCAGAGGATGTGAGGAGCTGAGAGGACATTTACTCGTGATCACAGGACACAAGGACGGGGGAAAGAAATGCACAGAGGTGATTCAACAGTTGAGAGCATTATGTACAAGCTGTGGTAGAGTTTTCAGAAGAATAACACTTAAAGGTCCAGTGTGTAAGATTTAGGTGAAAGGGATCTACTGGAAGAAATTTAATGTAGAATAATCCTCATGATGTTTTCACTAGTTCATTTCATCTAAATTGTAGTTTTCTTTACCCCAGAAAAGACCCTTTATATTTAAATACTTTATATTTACATGGAGGAGGTCCTCTCTACAGAGGCCACCATGTTTTTACATTAGTCCAGACTGAACAAACTAAACAACTATTGAGTTTTTATGACAACTGAAGCTACCACAGGTTCTTTTTCATGTTTGGAAGGAGAGGGTGAGGTGAGGGGTGTTCAGCTGCAACATACAACTTCAACACTAGATATCACTAAATTCTACACACTGAACCTTTAAAATTGGGCAAAATCACAAATTATGTGTGAACACTTCCGGGGCACGGCTCTACAATCACAGGGAACGGGACTGACACATTACATACTTTACAGTGCGGGTGGTGAATACTGGACAAGCATGCGTTCTGATCATGTCACATAGAGTGGCCTATTTACAATGCTTCTCTGGCTACAAAGTCACCGTGTGTATGTATGTGTGTGTCAGCTTGGACATCTCTATGCTTACAGATGGAAAGCAGCAGGGTCATGGCAGAGAGGCACCAGGCTGCCACCTGTACCTAGCCCTCAGTTCCCCTCTGTCACCCTACCATACATTTATCTCCTCCCTACCAGCCTCACCCTCAGTGACACTCTCATAGTGGGACTGCATGAAGACAGTGATGGAGCCCCTCACTGTCTTTTATACCCCTGTTCACTGTACTCCTCTTCATGCATCTTACACCTGCTTGTAACTTACTAACTCTAGGAGGTTACATTGTTATCTAGGTTTGCTCGTTAGTCAGCAGGATTACAAAGAAAGCTACTCAACCGATTTCCATGAAATGTTGTGCAGAGGTGGAGCATGATCCGAGGAAGAACATAATACATTTTTGTGAAGATCTGGATCAGGGGGCAGATCCAGATTCTTTTGGCATGTGTTGGGTCTGATATTTACAAGTGTATGAAATGTTTGCAGATCCAAATAAAACTCCAGATCTAGTGAATTTAAATGTGGTTTCAATACAGTCTGTAAAGTCCCACTCTAGTTAATAAGTCTTCTTTTTTTGTCTGACCAACATAATAAATATTCTAACTACGATACAAAAGGAAAAACAGAGATTTCGTAATTTTTACTTCATAACTGACAAGTTGTAATGACATTTTTAAATTAATGTGAGTTTACTGATTATTTGAACAATTACCAGCAATCTTCCACTTTGTACCAGGTCAAATCTCACATTCTCCATGACAGTGACAGTTACATTTTATTTTTTAATGTTATGACATACATTTAAAAAAGACAGCTTGAAAACAGCAGGTTTGACATTTATTTGAAATGAATAAAAATGTGATCAAAACTAGCAGGTGTCCCAAAGCCATATATTCTGTGAGTCTATGTGCTTTTCAGTGTGTGTGTTTGATTTCTCCACCCTCAACACCCACCTCCCTGTAGACTTGTCCACTTTTATTAAAGCATTTCTGAAAGCTACTGTCAGCCAGATCCAGCTGCACTGGCTTGAGGCTCCTCTGGAGAACAGCCATTGTAACTGGTGCAATGCAATCCAGCAGTCCAGAGCTTCTCTCACACCTCCACTCTACTGCCACAATCTTTATACTGTATATATATACACAGAGCAGCTCACGTCACTGTGTCAATCTCTCGTGAATGCCTACATTGCTGGAAGTTGACTTAGAATAAAACATTTAAGACTATGTTCTTCATGTGTAATTCATTGATGAAGTAAGTGTGTCATGTCCAGGCCTCTGGTCCACTAACTTCTCTGATCAACACCTTTGAGATTTCAACAACACTGAATAATTATTTGGTGAACACAAACAAAAAAAACTCCAGCGCACATGAAACAATTATTGGATTTGTCTGTATATACAGTGGTATGAAAAAGTTTGGGCACCCCTGATCATTGTCAAGATTTTCCTTTATGTATCATTGGTTGTTCGGAACAGCAATTTCAATTAAATATATCATATAGCAGACAAACACAGTGATATTTAAGAAGTGAAATGAAGTTTATAGGATTTACAGAAAGTGTGCAATAATTACTTAAACAAAAGTAAGCAGGTGCATAAATTTGGGCACCCCAACAGAAAAATTACATCAATATTTAGTAGATCCTCCTTGTGCAGAAATAACAGCCTCTAAACGCTTCCTATAGCTTCCAATGAGGGTCTGGATTCTGGTTGAAGGTATTTTTGACCATTCTTCTTTACAAARCATCTCCAGTTCAGTCAGGTTTGATGGTTTCCAAGCATGGACAGCCCGCTTTAAAACAGACCACAGATTTTCAATGATATTCAGGTCTGGGGACTGAGATGGCCATTCCAGAACGTTGTACTTGTTCCTCTGCATGAATGCTTTGGTAGAATTTGAGCGGTGTTTAGGGTCGTTGTCTTGTTGAAGTATCCAGMCCCGGCGCAACTTCAACTTTGTCACTGATTCTTAAACATTGTTCGCAAGAATTTGCTGATACTGACTGGAATCCATGCGACCTTCAACTTTAACAAGATTGCCAGTACCTGCACTGGCCACACAGCCCCACAGCATGATGGAACCACCACCAAATTTAACTGTGGGTAGCAAGTGTTTGTCTTGGAATGYTGTGTTCTTCTTCCGCCATGCATACCGCCCCTTGTTATGTCCAAATAACTCAATTTTAGTTTCA